TCTCCCTGTCCCTCCACCGCCTGATTGTACTTCTCCTTCAGGGCCTTGAGCTCTGCTTTTAGGTCGATCACCTCGGTCACCGCCACCTTGTACCGACACTCGAGAATCTTAAAACCGTGGATATCGAGATCATGATGGCTATTGGCCGTTGGGGATGAGGACCCCCCATTGGGTTTCTCACTCTCTTCTGGGTCATCGAGCTCTTTGTCTCCATTGAGATGTTTCATGGCGTTGACGCGCTCTGTGAGACGATGGACGCGCTCGTTCTGTTCAGTCAGGGCACCTTGTGTGTGCTGCAACTGAGTCTGGGACTCCTGCAGGTTCTTGAGCAGTGCTGCCTTCTCACGCTCCACCTGCACGACAGAAATGCAAAATTACATTTGTTTCTTTTTGTACTTTGCAGTGCATTTGTGTACGTCCTCCGGAACGACACGTTAAACCATATTAAAGCAATAAATCTGATTTTCAAGTTCTGAGATTGAACTATAAGAAACTCTGGACAACTCCAGAAGAAACACAACAAAAACTGGACTTCAGCTGGACATTATGAGGCTGATGGTCTTTCCCAGACAGATCAACTCAAAAGAGAAAATTAGCTGGTGAGTAATTGTGTTTACAGCGAGAGGCTGTGAATACAGCAACCACTAATCTAGTTTTCTCCTCCCTGCTGGTGCCCAGCTAGAAGATGTACGGTAATGACTTTATTTGCTTTTAGCACAAATTTGATCTCTCTGTGGTTTCACTGTCACTTAACATTCTGTATATCATCCTCCACGATGAGTGTGTTTTGTACTCAAGTGGGTTTAAGTGAAAGCTAGTTCAGCTATTTATCTTATATATATTTTGTATTTTTACATTCTTTGTATACAGTAGCAGCTTTTCAAGCAGGAACTAATTGCGGTGTAAATAAAAGTGTACAAAGTTTCCTTCACTTTTGGCATAAATCTGTTGCCTTTCTCGGCCTTCGTCTTGCAGCTGCATTCACGCTTTCTGAAAGCTACTCCCTCCATAACATGCGTGAAAGCATACAGAATATATAATGCATGATACAGACACTGAATGTGCATTAGCATGCTTCTTAAAAAGCACTTACCAGATGGGCGCCCTGAGCGCTAGGGCGTCTGAACATTTGTGATGTCATTCCTCTAGTCTTTCTCCACTTCTCATCTATCTCTAATGTCAGTACAGGGTTCAAAGGGCAATAACCTTGAATGAATGCCTTCAGACTCCATCAGTCTAAAATATACTGTGGGAAGGGAGATCAATATGATAGTCCTGCAATCTGCTCTTTGAAGCTAATTTCTACCCCCCCTCGGCGCTGTTATTTAAACCCTCGGTGACGTTCAAGTGACGTCAGTGTCCTTGGAAATAAAGATTCGGTGACCCAACGATTTTCTGATTTCAAACTGGGCTCGGGGCTCATGTGGGACTTTAAACTTTCAGTGAAATTTCCAAGGCGCTCTCTCTTATGACCTACCTGCAGTAGCTGCTGTTTGAGCTTCTGCATCTCTGACAAGTTGAGCTCGCTGAACAGATCTGGCACCGGGTGAAGGCCATCTCCCTTTCGGCCGGGTCTGTAGTCCCCGTTCATCTTAGCCATCCCAGAGCCAGCGTGAAAGTGACCGTTGCAGCGGTTGTTGTCCTCATTGTTGCCATTAGCAGCAGGGATGGCGCTGCCGTTAGTGCCGTTGCTCTCCTCGGGGAACTTCAGGCCTTCAACCCCGGTGACGGTTAGCGCCAGATGGGCCCCTGCGCCGTAGACGCTGTCGCCCAGGCTGATGTGATGGGCTAGTTCTTTCCTCAGATTGTTCTTCTGCTCGCGCTCAGTCTTGAGGGCATCCAGGGCTTCTTCTAACTGACCCTCAGAGATTTCCTTTAAGCGCAAAGCGTCTTCCAGCTGGCTGTTCAGAAGGACAGTCTCCTCCTCCAGCACCTTAATTTCATGTTTCAGTCCCTCGTACTCCACCTGAGGGGCACAGAAAGGTCACGTGGTAACCCATTTGTAAACAGCTGGTAAAAAACAAATCCTTTTGAAATTAATATAATCGTTAAGATCTCTATTCGACTTCATCTAACCACGTATCTAGAGCTAGTATAAACTAATACGACTTTATGTTACTGTGCAGTAGGGCTGCCACGATTAGTCGACTAGTCACGATTA